TATGGATCACAGCAAAGTGTGGAAAATTCTTCAAGAGATGGGAATATCAGACCACCTCACCTGCCTCCTGAGAAATCTGTATGCAGGTCAGGAAGCAAGAGCTAGAACTGGACGTGGAACAACAGACTGGTTCCAAATTGGGAAAGGAGTACGTCAAAGCTGCATACTGTCACCCTGCTTATTTAACTTATATGCAGAGTACATCATGGGAAATGCCGAGCTGGATGAAGCACAAGCTGGAATCAAGATTGCCAGAAGAAATATCAATAACCTCAGATATGCAGATGACACCACCCTTATGGCAGAAAGTGAAGAACTAAAGAGACTCTTGATGAAAGTGAAAAAGTTGGTTTAAAACTCAACATTTAGAAAACTAAGGTCATGGCATCTGGTCCCATCACTTCATGATAAATAGATGGAAAAACACTGGAAACAGTGACAGACTTTATTTGGGGGGGGCTCCAAAATCACGGCAGATAGTGACTACAGCCATGAAATTAAAAGATGCTTGCTTCTTGGAAGAAAAGTTATGACCAATCTAGACAGCATATTAAAAAGCAGAGACATTACTTTGCCAACAAAGGTCCATCTAGTCAAAGCTATGGTTTTTCCAGTAGTCATGTATGGATGTGAGAGTTGGACTATAAAGAAAGCTGAGCACCCAAGAATTGATGCTGTTGAACTGTGGTGCTGGAGAAGACTCTTGAGAGTCCTTTGGACTACAATGAGATCAAACCAGTCCTTCCTGAAGCAAATCAGTCCTGAATATTCATTAGAAGGACTCATGCTGAAGCTGAGACTCCAATACTTTGTCCACCTGATGCAAAGAACTGACTCATTGGAAAAGACCCTGATGCTGGGCAAGAATGAAGGTGGGAGGAGAAGGGGACGACAGAGAATGAGATGGTTGGGTGGCATCACGGACTCGATGGCCATGAGTTTGAGTGAGCTCCAGGAGTTGGTGATGGACAGGGAGGCCTGGCGTGCTGCAGCCCACTCTTTTGCAGTTGCAAAGAGTCAGACACGGCTGAGCGACTGGACTGAACTGAACTGAACACTTGGAGCAGTGGGTGTCGCCCAGTAGCTTCTGTGTGTTTGCTGACACCTGATTAAATTCAGGGAACATGTTCCTGTTGCTCTGAGTTTGTCTGTTTAATGGTGACGTTAACTCGATTATGGCAGTATTTGTCAGGTTTCTCTACTGTGAAATTGTTTTCTTTTTCTTTTTTTTTAAATCTTTTTTATACTTCCTTTCTTTGGAAGATTTCACTAGGTTCAGTCCACAGCCAAAGCAGTGGGGAATTAAGCTCCACCTCCCAGAGGGGGGAAACCTACATGAATTATTCAGAATTCTTCTGTAAGGAAGATTTGCCTAGTCTCCCCCATTTATTTGTTTCTTCAATCACTACATCAGTGTGGACTCATGGATATTTATTTTATGCGTTGGATTATAATCCAATTCTGTTATTTGTTCTGTTGCTCATCCTGGCCTAGGTTTGGCCCCTGGGATCTCTTTCAGGTTGGCTCCTGTACTGAAACCCCATCTGTGTTTTTTTTTTTTTACCATTTCCTCCGACAGAGGAGCCTGGTGGGCTACAGTCCACAGGGTCGCAAAGAGTGGGACACAACTGAGAAACTACACAGTTACTCTCTAGCATTCCAAGATGATCCAGGCTCATCTATTGTTTTCCCTGCCTCAGCCCCTGAATCAGTCATTTCTCTAGGGAGTTCTGGTTCGTATTATTAGAGTGGTATGTAGGAACCAAGATCTAGAGGCTGAATGTGCTTATTCCTGCCAGGGTGTCACTACTTCCAGGCTCTCTGGGGGGAGAACTAGATTTGCTTTAATATAAAAAATTAAGTTTCCAGGGCTTCCCTGGTGGTCCAGTGGTTAAGACTCTAGACTTCTACTGCAGGAGGTGTGGGTTTGATCCCTGGTTAGAGAACTAAGATCCCACAGGCCACATGTCACGTGGTGTGGCAAAAAAAAAAAATGAAGTTTCCCCTCTTGCCAATTGTGGGGTCTGTTGGAGGCTCCAGACAGCTGCCTCTTGGCCTTTGAGCACAGGCTCCAGCCTGTGGCCCATAGGCAGGCCTGCCCAGTCTCACGTGCCCTTGGAGGGTCTTATGCCCTTGGAGGGTCTTATGCTCTCTCTCTGAGAGAGACAGCGAGGGGGGAACACGTGCCGCCAGCCTCCCCCCAGGCTGAGCCAGTCCAGCTCCCCAGCGGGGCCATCGGGGGCTGAGTGGCTTTGGAGATTGGACTCAGCCAGGCCTCCACACTGCGGGAGGCCTGCTCCTTGCTGGACCGACAGCTTTGTGAGTGGTAGCGGCAGTAGCCATAACGCAGTAACAGAGCCATGGGGGCAACCCGGGGCAGGCCAGGCAAGGGTCAGCTCCCAGGAAGGCCTGATTCGGCCGCCCGCCTCAGCACACCCAAGTGGGCGGTGCTCACGAGTGCAAGGCCTGGGGCACTGGTTCCGGCGCCCCCTCACCTTTCCCATGCCCAGTCCAGCCCAACCCCGCAGGACACACTGGTGCTCAATGGGCCAGGCCCGGAACTGGCTCCCCACAGAGGCAGCTCTCCTGCAGCCGCAGGGAGTCAGGGCCGAGTGGGCAGCTTGAGGCCCCAAGGCAAGCTGAGAGCCCTCCCACCTTTGCCAGAATGTCTCCTGTCTCCCCATAGCTCTAGGCTGGGAGTCAAGAGGTCTGGGCCTCTCTAGCACTGACTTCTGTTTGGGGCACAGTAATTACGTCTCAGCCTGCTTAACATCTTCATTGGCTCCCCGCTGCCCTCAACCTAAAATCCCCATTGCTGGACCTGCCTTCCCTGGAGATCTCTTCGGCATTCTGCGTCACGCCCTAATAACACCAAATTGCTTGTGGTTCCTGCTTGCACAATCACAGTTTCGCACCTCCACAGTTTACCCTGCCTGCATTACCCTTCCCCACTGCTTCACTGGTTAATTCCTACTTGTGCCTGAGCTCTTAGCTCCGGATGACCTCCTCCAGGAAGACTTCCTCCTGTGCGCTGGATCACTTCTGCCCATCTGATCCTGCCTCTGATGCCCTGGGTATGACACCCTCCTAAGACCCACCAAGAATGACCTCTGGTGTCCTGGGCAGTGACCTGGTATAGTGCAGAAGGCTTGGGGTGTGACCAGGACTGTGACTTTAAGGCTCCTGCTCCTCCCTGCTGCGTGACTTAGGGCAAGCCACTGCACATCTCTGAGCCTGAGTCTCCCCTCTGTGGGAAAAGCACCTAATTGGGATACAAGGCCTTGCTTTCAAGTCTGGCCTCTGCCTCTAACTCACCGTGGCCTTGGGCAAGACCCTTCACTGGGCCCAGCCTCAGTTTTCTTCTGTAAAACGGGGCTGCCCACGAAACTCGAAACTCGGGAGTGCTAAGGATCCAACAAGCCCAAACTTGTGAAAAGCTTTTGTAAACCTCAGAGCCCGACATGGATGAAGAATTTATTTCAACAGCTCTGCGGAGATGTGTGGGAGGGAGGCTGATGGCTGCACGCAGTGCCCTCCCCCATCACCCCACCCCGCCCGCCCCCCCTGCCCTCCCCCATCACCCCACCCCGCCCCCATCACCCCGCCCCCCCTGCCCTCCCCCATCACCCCACCCCGCCCCCATCACCCCGCCCCCCCTGCCCTCCCCCATCACCCCACCCCGCCCCCATCACCCCGCCCCCCCTGCCCTCCCCCATCACCCCACCCCGCCCGCCCCCCCTGCCCTCCCCCATCACCCCACCCCACCCCGTCCCCCCCTGCCCTCCCCCATCGCCCCCTGCCCTTCCAGAAGCCTTGGGATCAAAGGTGATGAAGGCCTGTTGGCATGGAGGCCTGACTCCTGGTCCCCTGCCCACCTCCCGCCCACCCCACTCCCAGGGCTACATGGCCTGTGCATTGCATATGCTCTGTTTACTTTCCAGGGTGGGGGTGAGCCCTCCCCACCCCACTTCATTTTTTTAAAGACCCAGTTTTATTTTATTTATTTACCTGTAAAACAGTTTTCGACCACATGGCATGTGGGATCTTAGTTTCCAGACCAGGAATCCATCCCATGCCCTGCAGCGGAGGTGAGGACTCTTCACCACTGGACCCTAGGCACGTGCCCGCCCCCACCTCAGGCACAGCCTCTCAAACCCACTGCTCCTCCGAAGGCTGAAAACCAAACTCAGTTTGAACAATCTGCAACTTTATTCCAGAGCAGAAATAAGTCGTTTCCTAACAATAAATATAAAAAAATAATAAATTAAGGTTCAAAAAAAAAAAAACCCAACAGAACAAAATCATTAACACTGACAGAGTAGTAAATGGTGTCTAATCGGGTCTGGGAATGTCCGACACAAGCGCTGTCTGCCCCGAGCCCCAGCCAGGCCCCCTGCCTCACACACATCCTCTCCACAAGGTACAAAATATATATATATATTTTAAAAATCTCCACATAACCAAGCATCCTGCGGGGCCCCAGGGGAGCAAGTGTTCGGCCCGTGGGGGCTGAGGACGGGGCTGGGGGTGGGAGGACCGTGCTGGGTCTTGCCCGCCGAGTGTGGCTCCTCCTCGTGTTGGCCTGAGGTTCCTGCTCCGTCTCTGGAAGGCGGCGGTCAGCGAGGTGATGGTCACCATGGTTATGGTCACCATGGCGATGGCCAGCAAGGTGATGGTCACTGTAGCGATGGCCCACGAGGTGATGGCCCGTGTGTGGGTCTGCAGTCTTGGCGGGGGTGCTAGGAATGCTCCGGAGCCGCTGTGTGCGTGGAGGCCAGGTCAGTCCTTCGTCAGCGAAGAGGCAGCCAGCCCAGGATCCCTGAGCATCTCCTCAGCTCAGGCCAAGGTATTATCAAAGACCTCCCCGCAGCAGAGGCCTCAGGATGGTGTCGACAAAGAAAAACTGGAAATAAATACGGTCCCTGGTGGCCCAGCATGGAAGGAAGCCAGTCTGTTTCTTCAAGTATTCTCAGCAGATGGTTCGCAAGGGCCTTAGGGGCTCAGATGGGGACCCCCGCCGTGTTCACCTGGTCCTTGAGGCCCAGCAGGCTGTAGGCGATGCGCTTCTGGTGGCCGGGCAGCCGCACCCCAATCCTCTTGATGTCGCTGTGCAGGGCGAGACAGGAGGAGACAGTGAGGGGCCGCTCTGGGAAGGGGGGCAGCCGCGGGAGGGATGGGGGCGGGGAGAGGGGGGCGTGGGGAGCACGTGGGGCAGGGGGCATAGGGAAGGAACATGGGGAGGAAGGGGCGGGGGAGAGGGGGGCACACGAGGAGAGGGGGCAGGTTGGGAGAGGGGAGGGCGTGGGGAGGGGGGCGGGGAGATGGGGGCATGGGGAGCGTATGGGGAGGGGGGCGTGGGGAGGGGGGCGGGGAGAAGGGGGAGAGGGGGCGGGGAGATGGGGGCATGGGGAGCGTATGGGGAGGGGGGCGTGGGAAGGGGAGCGGGGAGAAGGGGGAGAGGGGGCGGGGAGGGGGTGGTGTGGGAAGGGGGGGCACGTGGGGAGAGGGGGGCGTGGGGAGCACGTGGGGAGGGGGGCGGGGAGAGGGGGGTGTGGCACCTGGGGTGGGGGCTTCATAAGGAGGGCCCACGCCCTGCAAGCCTGGGACCCCAACAAGTTCAGAAATGGCAGAGCACTGAGTGCAAGCTATTTTTTTTTTAATCAAATCAGCACAAAATCTGTAGGTGCTGTTTTTGCCCCCATTTTGCAGATTAGAAAACTGAGGCTCAGCAAGGTGAACTGACTTGCCCAGAGGGACAGAGCTGAGAGGTGGAGGAGCTGAAGGAAGGCCGTCACCTCCACCCTGGGTCTGTCCTAAAGGCCCAGCTAAGGCTCCTCCCCAGGCAACACGGATGCCATCAGTGGACGCCAGGGACCCTCGGGGGGACCCTGAAGGCTCTCTGCCCCAGGTCTCTTCACAGCCACCGCCTCGTTTCACCCCCACTCCCTCCAAACTCTCATAGCAGAGGAAGGACTCAGGAGACCCTTACTGAGGGGCCGTGGGTGCTTGTGTGCTAAGTTGCTGCAGTCATGTCCAACTCTGTGTGACGCCATGGACTATAGTCCTCCAGACTCCTCTGTCCTGGGATTCTCCAGGCAAGAATACTGGAGTGGGTTGCCATGCCCTGCTCCAGGGGCTCTTCCTGACCCAGGGATCCAACCTGCATCTCTTGCATCTCCCGCATTGGCAGGCGGGTTCTTTATCACTAGTGCCACCTGGGAAGCCCCCTGAGGGGCCATCAGAGGTTAAACTTATGCGGGTCTCTAACAGGACAGGCTTTCCCTTTAGGAACCCCGATTTCCTCACCTGTAAAATGAGGCAACTGTGCCTAACTGGAGGGTGGGAGACCCTGGAAACTGGTGGCAGAGGGGAAGGCGGCATCAGCGCTGGCAGAAAGACGTGCCCAGGGGCCCAGGGTCCTCCGCCGCCTCCCCGCAAGACCCTCCATCCCCTCGTAAAGCCACTTACACTCCCAGGAACCCTGGAGCAGACCTTTACTGCTCACACTGGGAGTTTCCCCCTTCACCATCCTCACCCATCAGCCCCAACCCATGAAAACACCCTGGTTTTTATGGGCCCTCTCCCGGGAGGGAGCTAATTATATGGTGCAAGCAACTCCGGAGACACGACTTTCCCACAGGTTCTGGGAGCCCCTGGAGAAGTGCTGAGCTTGGAAGGGCGGAGGTGTGGGAGGGCAGCCCCGGGACTGCAGCAGGAAGGCCCGAAGTCAGACACCTGGGAGAACTTCCTCACCCACCACAGCAGAGCCACTGCTAACCTGCAGGGTGGAGGGTGCTGAAAAAGCAGCACTGCTTTCCCCACATAGAGTGGCTGATGCCTGTGGCCTCTGGCAGACCATCCAAGTTTGTCCCTGCCCCAGCCTTAGATTCTGTCTTGGGAGATCCAGGGCAGGCACCCGCTGGATCAACTCCCATCACAGGAGTGGGGACGCACACAACTGAGGCCACCATTTTCTTGAGCCCTGGCAATGCCAGCCCGCTCCCCCCCTGGGGGGTTCAGAGGCCACAACCTGCCCAGTGAGCACCTACTGTGCACTGGCCACGGGCAGCAGGAGACAGGAGGGCGGAGGGAACGCAGCCCGATCGTTCATCCTCTCGACAAATGTCCCATCAGCATCAAGCTGTGCTGAGGGCACATGGAGACTGGAAGACCCGTCAGCCAGTGCCCCCAGGCCCCCAGGATGCGGTGGGCCACAGCCCCAGACACTGCAGAGGTCCTTTGTGGGACTGGGTATTTTTCTGGGGTGCGACACCTATGACTTCCATTAGCTCCTCAAAAAACATTCAGAACCACTCACTAGTCTAGCCAGAAACTCAAGTGATTCCAAAATAACATGGCGAATGCTCAAGCTGAGAAGAGATAGCCACTGTGGGACCAGCCACAGGGGCTTCCCAGGTGGCTCAGTGGTAAACAGTCTGCCTCCCAAGCAGGAGGCACAGGTTCAGTTCCTGGGTCGGGAAGATCCCCTGGAGAAGGAATTGATAACCGGCTCCAGTATTCGTGCCTGGAGAATCCCATGGACAGAGGAGCCTGGTGGGCTACAGTCCAGAGGGTAGCAAAGAGTCGGACACGACTGACTGTGCACGCAGTGGGACCCCAGGGGACTGAGCAGTCTGCCCCTTGGGACTGGTGACGGATATGGACTCAGGGCAGGGGTGAGGCACTGGAGCCGAAATCCACATCCCATCCCAGGAGGGCTGACTTCTGAGAGCAGCGCAGAGCCTCCCGCTGGGACCTACAGCATGTATAGACACAGCCTCCAGGGTTAAAAAGTACTCTGAGGTCCCCCTTTCCCTTGTCTAATTGGAGATAAAGACGGGGGCAGCGGCATGAGTCACACAGGCCCCAGGCTGGAGCACCAGTGGGGCTGAGAGAAGGTGGGGGAGCGTGCAAGGACTTCCTGCCTTTATCCAGGCCTGCTCAGATCTCAACACACACTCACCCCCATCGGTCCAAAACAACCCTGCTCCCGCTCATGGGAAAGAACTGGCCGAGGAGCACCCCCGGGCTATTTCAAGAAGCTTCCAGGAGCTGAGTCTCCTGTAAGCACGTCTCGCTGACCTCAGTTCTGCTCACCCAGCAGAGAGGCTCTGCTGTCCTCAGTGGGGCCCCGGGAGGGCAAAGCGGCCACTCCAGGCTCCCAGGTGAGAGGAAGCGGCCGAGGGACCCTGGTATTTGCCCACGGGCTGTGGGTGGAAAGCAAGAGAATGGAGGAAAAGGGGAGCATGACATGGATTAAGCCCCTACTGTGTACCAAGTGGATCATCTGCATTACACCCAAGCAGGGAAACGGAAACCAAGGCTCAAAGATGGAACCTAACCTGACAAAAACCACCTGCTAGGAAGTGACCAGGGTGGGACTCGACCCCAGCTGTGACTGCAGAGCCCAGCTCTGGACCCTGCAGCTGGCTGGCGATGCAAGATACCCATCTCACAAGGCTACAGCACGGGGAGCTGTATTCAGAACCACAGTGGAAAAGCATACAGAGGAAGGATGTGTGCGTGGACAGCACTGAGTCACTCCGCTGTGAGCAGAGGTTGGCCAGCATTGTGCATCAACGAAACTTCCATGTAACAAAGAAAGAGCTCTGTCTCTTTTCTCCACTTTTCCATGCCTCCCTCGGGTCAGCTGTCCCTGCCTGACTCTTATCCGGGCTGTCCCCTGGGACAGGCCAGGGCTAGCTCTGACAGGCCTTGACCAGCAGGTCAGAAGTCCAACTGAGCAATTTCTAGAGGCCTTGGAGAATGTTCAGACAGAGGCCCTAGCCCCAGAACTGTGACCCAGAACGGCAAGGGGCCTGGGTCAGCCCTTCCCGTGTGATTCCCAAAGCCTCCCGGCCCCGAGGCCCGTTTCCTCCACGACCTTGGACCTGACACAGCTGGGAACTACCACTATTTTTAGAAGCACAAAAGGCCAAGAGGACAGCATCTTCTCCCTCCCGGGATAGGAGGAGGTGTCTGCGCCAAGGCCGTGTCGGGAAGGGTCCCTGATGCTGGAGCTGGGAGGAGAGGAGAGCTCCCGCAGGGCAGAAGCCGGGACAGGGCTGGCGGGCTGGCACTACTTGCCACGCTGGACCACAGGGCTGAGAGGCATCCGTACGAGGAGAGGTGCCGGGGGGGGGGGGGGTGCGGGCGGCGCCCCCCTTCTCACGTCAGCCAGGAAAGTGCAAGGCCTCTGCCCAGGCTGCTCAGCGTCCTGGAGAAGAACGGAGCGCCTCACTGGCTGTGTGACCTCGGGCCACCTGCGTCACCTCTCAGCCTCAGTTTCCCTGCTTGTTAAGTGGAGGGGGGAGGTAACAATAGCCTCTATTCATGAGTCAAATAGGGAGTTCAACCAGGTGATGGCTGTGAAACAGTCTTTCTTTTCTCAGCTAAAAACTGTGTGACCTGGATGGAGTAAGCCACGTAACCTCTGAGCCTCCACTTCACTAACGACCTCCATGGTTTCTGACCTCTTGAGCCTGACTGCCCCGGGCTGGAGTACCCCTAACGGCCACGGAACCCTGGGCTATGTTGTTTCTCACCTGCCACCGCCCTGCCCGCTATTACAGTCAATAGTGGGGCTATTGACAGGAGCCACCTGCCGAGTTATCACAAAGGCTGAGTCAAAGTACTCAAGCACTGGGCTTCCCCTGGTGGCCCAGCAGTTAAGACTTCATGCTTCCAACGCAGAGGGAACAGGCTCAACGCCCGGTTAGGCAACTGAGATCTGACAGGGCGCGGCCAAAAAACCCAGCTTTGACCCGTACAGTGAGGATATGTGCTCTCCGTAATATCTAAGTTACAGCAATAAAGCATTTGAAAAAACAAAACCAAGTGCTCAAGCAGAGCTGGCACATGGTCAGCCTTCAACAGATGCCACTGTTACGATTACAATTATTATTTTCTCACCAGAGCCACGGTAAGTGCCCAGGACTGCTGGCTGCTGGCCTGGTTCTGCCCTTCCTGCAAAGCCACTCTCCCGGAGAGAGAAGGAGAGAGAAAGAGACGAGGGCAGAGCAGGGCAGGCAGAGAGAAGAGTGGGCAGTGGGAGAGCCGGAGGCAGCCTGGGGTCTCGGCGAGGCCAGGCGGGGCGGGGCTGGAGCAGACTCACTCGTTGGTCATCTGCGCCACCTTCTCGAGGGTGCTGTAGCCGGCCACCAGGAAGTGCTCCGTGTACTGCTGCATTCTGATGGACTCCAGCCACTCGGACACCGTGCGGAAGGGCGCGCCCTCTGAGCCGCTGGTGCTGGGCAGCCGGATGGACACCCTGCGACAGCAGACACCAGCCCACAGGTGAGCCCCCGGAGCTGCTCCTAAACCGCAGCAAGCCTCCCAGCTGCCCCGCCTGGGTTTCTTCATCTGGGCGATGGGCAAGCCAAGTCAGGAAAGGCTCCAAGAGACAGCCCTGGTGGGCCGGGAGCACTCAGCGCCTCTGGCTCCTGCCGCCCCCTGCTTCCACTGACAGCAGCACCAGTTACCACAAAAGAACCAAATGTAAGAGACTCAGGTTTTCAGAGCCACGGTCCCAACCTGACCATTTGCCAGCACGTAAGACACTTAATTGCCCCGTGTCTGTTTCCTCATCTACAAAAGGGGGATAATTACAGGACCATCTCCTAAGCTGTCTAAATGAGTTAAAACATGCCAAGCACCAGGCCGGCCCATTTACCACACACAGATGCTGACTGCTTCCGTTAGTATCGCCTGAGCTACCCTGGTCCAGGCTAAGTAATGCCCACGTGTCACTTCTGAGTCCTTGCCCCCCCTGCCCCTCGCTGCCCGTCACGCTGAAGTGGCTCAGAAGGATGCCTGGGGGGCCGCCCTGGACCGAAAGTACAGAACCCACCGGGGGTCAAAGTCAGCCAGGGTCTTGAGGGAGTCGGGGGCACGGATGAGCTTGTCCAGGATGCTAACGATGTCGGCGAACTTGGGGCGGCGGGTGCGCTCCTGCTGCCAGCACTGCATCATGAGCTGGTAGATGGCGGAGGGGCAGTCCATGGGTGTGGGCAGCCGGAAGCCGTCATTGATGGCCTTCATCACCTGGGGGTGGGCAGGGTGGTCAGGGTGCCTTCACAGCCCCCAGACTCCCATACAGTGGTTGGCAGAAGGAAGGGGAGCCCAGAACAGAGGGGATGGGCCTCCTTCCTTGAGCCTGACACACAGACTTTGGTGCTAAGAGGCTGTGTCCAGAGGAGGCAGGGTCCCCTGACTGTGCTTCCTCCTGGGCACCGGGCCAACAGCCATGCCGTGAGCCCTGTAGCCAGCCTCTTTGTGGTCTCCAGGTGCCTACACACTGCCCCCTTTAAGCCTGAGCACTCTTCCCCCTCTGTGTCTTCACCTGGCTGCTGCCTTACTATGCTTCAGTCTCAGCTGAGATGTCACCTCCTCTGGGAAGTCTTCCAGGCCTCCTGGTTGCATGAGGTACCAGGTACTTGTACAGTCACAAAAGCGCACACATATACACACATGCATGCATACACACACACTTGCCCCACCCCACTACTTCTTTCTTTGATCTCTTGTTGAGTGTAAGCAAGGACTGGGTCTGAGCCTAGCACTCAGCCTGACACACAGTAGGCCCTCAATAGACATTCACTGAACCAATGAAGGGCCGTACCAGATGAAGACCAACCCTCCAAACTCTCCTCTGCCCAACCCCTGGGGTTTGGGAATGAGTAAAGGCTTCAGCCCAGGTCTGGATGGGGCTGGGAGGATGAGGGGGCCTACCTCATGGTTTGACAGCTCCCAGTAGGGCCGCTCCCCGTAGGTCATCACCTCCCACATGACGATGCCATAGCTCCACACATCGCTGGCCGAGGTGAACTTGCGGTAGGAAATGGCCTCCGGAGCTGTCCAGCGGATTGGGATCTTGCCACCCTGCAGGGACCAGGCCGGTCACGACTATCCCTTCAGCACCCCTGGGACGATCCCAGTCAGGGCCACACTCCCCAGAGACCCAGGCCCCAGGTGTGAGAGGATGAAGGCGGCGCCACCCCCCGTCCTGGAGACAGCCACCGAGCACTCACACTGGTGGTGTAGGTGGCCTCGGGGTCGTCCTCCAGCACACGGGACAGGCCGAAGTCAGACACCTTGCAGACCAGGTTGCTGTTGACGAGGATGTTGCGGGCGGCCAGGTCGCGGTGGACGTAGCTCATGTTGGCCAAGTACTTCATGCCGGCCGCGACGCCCCGCAGCATGCCCACCAGCTGCAGCACACTGAACTCGCCATCCTTCTCCTGCGGGGGTACCGGGCCTCAGCCGCCGGCCGGCCACGCCCACCAGGACCCCCGGCCCCCAGCAAGGCCACTCCCACCGGGGCCCCCAGCCCCCAGCCAGGATCCCAGGGCCCCCCCCGGGCCCACAAGCTCACCCGCAGGAACTTGTCCAGGGCCCCGTTCTCCATGTATTCGGTGATGATCATCAGGGGTTTGTCTGTGGAGGTGCGCACGGGTGTCAGGGCAGGGGAGCAGCTCTCAGCAGAGGCCCTACCGGGGCCCCCAGCGGGCGACCCCTCCCGTCCAGTACAGGTCCCCCCCAGTGGGCGACCCCTCCCGTCCAGTACAGGTCCCCCCCAGCGGGCAACCCCTCCCGTCCAGTACAGGTCCCCCACCCCCACTCCAGAGCCAGGACTCACACTTGGAGACGACGCCCTCCAGGCGGATAATGTTGTGGTGGCTGAACTGGCCCATGATGCTGGCCTCGCTGAGAAAGTCCACTCGCTGCTTCTCCGTGTAGCCGGCTTTCAGCGTCTTGATGGCCACAGGTACCTCCTTCTTCCCCGATGCCTTCAGGGTGCCCTTGTACACCTCCCCAAACTCTCCTGCAGGCAGGCGAGGTGGGAGAAGCGCCCACGTCAGCCCGGGCATCGGGCACTCCCAACCCACCCCAGACCCCTCCGCGGCGCGCAACCTCACCGGCTCCGATCACCTTCTGCCGCGTGACGCAGGACGGGTGGATCTCGGTGGTGAACTTGAGCACAGCCTGGTTGGGGTCCTCGTAGGTGTGGGGGTCCACATAGGTCTTCAGGGGCTTCAGTTGTTCTGGGAGGCGAAGGAGAGGCAGGGTCACAGACAGCTTGGGAGGGGAGGGGCCCTAGAGCAGGGGGAGGAGGAGGTGATGGACCAGGGACCCCGGGGGAGGCCCATCGCCTGGCCACAGACCCGGAGGCGTGAGGACCGCAGGAGGGCAGCAGGGGCCGCAGCTCACCTGACTTGGAGAAGTAAACATCCTCCGAGGACTGGCGTGTCCGCAGGCTCTTCCTCCTGTGAGGTCCCATGGGAGACCAGACACGTAGGGAGCTCAGTGACCCCTGTCTCAGAGCCTCCTGACCCTACCCTGGTTCTGAGTGGGGGCCTGGTGTCCTCGGGCAGAGGGCGTGGGGAAAGCCAGGCAGAGGAAATGAGCAAGCTGGCTCCCTCCTTGGCACCTACACCCTGTAATGGCCCTTAAGTGGCTGTAATGCAGGCTTCCTTCATAACAGCGCCCGGAGCTTCCTGCCCGTGTGTCCCGAGGAAGTACGGACAGGCCATCCTGATGACCACTCTGCCCGGAGCCCCTAGGAACCCCCAGGCCCTGTGCGGAGCCCTTCAGAAGTCAGTGCACCTCCACACACACACACACACACACACACACACACACACACACACCCCGGGAGGCAGGGCCTAGATTCCTATCGACCTCATTGCCCTCAGGAAGCAGGTTCTCACCCCCGTGCCCCTCCTAAGTCCTTGGGGAGCCCAGCCACGGGTTCCCACAAACCTGCGGTGGATGAAGAAGCCGATTCCCGCCAGCGCCAGGAGCAAGGCCACGCCAACAGCCACACCGCCGACCACTGCCATGGTGCCGGACCCTCCCGTGGCTGTTGAGGGGAGACCAGGCGTGACAAAGGAGCCCCGCCCTTCAGACCATGGTGATCCCCTGGTTGTACTTAGAACCCCAGACACTTGCTGGGTGCCTCTACTACTGACGGCCCATGAGGGCATTCATCCCATTTCACAGAGGCCCTCCCCAGGGAACAGAGCAGGTGTGGGGGACTCTCTCCACAGTGTAGGATTTGAACTGGGCCTGTCAACACCAGAGCCTACATCCTTCTCTTCCCACAACACAGCCCTGAATACACGGCCCTGGATCCCCCCCGCCCTCCATCCTGCCCACTTCCCAGGCTGGGGGCTGACCCATGCAGGGCCATCCGAGGCCCCGGCTGACCAGGAAGGGGGCGCTTCTAAGTTCTCTGATCTACTCCCTCCGCCCAGGATGTCCCGGTGGTGTCGGGACGCTGGGCCGGCCTGCACCCCGGGCCCCGACTCACACAGCGTCTGGAATTCATGCACTTTGCTGCCGGCACCCTGGCCCTCCTGCGTCAGCGCCTGCACCTGCACCAGGTAGATGGTGTCCGGGGCCAGGTCGTCCAGCGTCACGGAGAAGCCTTCGGTGCGGCGCACGTTGTAGCTGTTGGCATCGCCCTGTGGGTGTTTAGCGGGTGGAGAGACAGACCGTGAGGACAGGCGAGGGCGGTCAGCTCAGCCTGCCAGAGAGAAACTCCAGCTTAGCAAGGTTAGTCTCTCTGTTAGCAGTCTTGGTGCCCTTCTTAGAGAGGATGCAACTGAGGCGCAGAGAAAGAAGCGAAGTGACTCGCTCCAGGTCACAGCCAGCAAATGCAGGACCCAGGACTCAAGCCCAGGTCTGCCTGATCTCCAGGACAGGGCTCTCCTGCACCCGCACCTCTTCCGGGGATTCCAGAACACTGCGTCTTCTCTCCCACAAACCCCTACTGGCTGGCCTCGGAGAGGCAACTCTCAGGAAGACCCCAGACCCCATTTGCTTCTCCAGACGACTGCGTGGTGCAGGGAGCGCCCCTGTGCCCAGCCCCGGCCCAGCGCACATCACCTTCTTGCGGTAGGTGACTTCATACTTCCACACGCGGCTCTGCTGCAGCGGAGGGATGGCCCAGGAGACGCTCAGCGAGGTGGTGCTGCGGCTCTCCAGCTTCACCTTGGGGGGCTCTGGGCGGGACAGCGGAGGCGGGAAGGGGTGTGAGAAGCCACCCCGGGGCAGGGGGGCACTGAGGGAGCACCCAGACCCAGTCCCATCCACAGCCTGACCTGGGGTTCTCAACTTTCAGCCCCAGAGCACAGAGCCCCAGCCTGGGGCCCCAACACAGGCTGGCACATCAGGGGTGCCCCACGAGTGTTTACGAGTGCACAAATACTAAAAGGAGAACAATAACGTCTCTATGGACCAGGTTACATATAAGGATTTATTAAGTTCTCTCAACAGCCCTTAAATAACCCCCATCTTACAGGCGCTTCCCTGGTGGGTCAGGTGGTGAAGAATATGCCTGCAGTGCAGGAGACCCGGGTTTAATCCCTGGGTCGGGAAGATCCCCTGGAGAAGGGAATGGCAACCCGCTCCAGCATTCTTGCCTGGAGAATCCCATGAACAGAGGAGCCTGGTGGGCTACAGTCCACAGGGTTGCAAAGAGTCGGACATGGCTGAGCCACTGACACTTTACAGGTGAGGAAACGGGTTCAGAGGTTAAGGACTCGCCCCCAGTCACCGAGCTCAGAAGAGACGCCAGGGGCCGCGCCTTTGAGCCCTCTGTGCTGCCTGTCTCGGAACCCAGCAGAGCTCTGGGTCACCATCCTAGGGAAGCCCCCCACCTGGGCGGGTGGCACGGGCAGGGCCCGCAGCCCGAGACGCTCACCGGTCTGGTTGATGCTGACGCTGGCCGTGCGGAAGCTGCGGGTGCTCACCAGGCCCGAGACACCATTGCGGGCCTCCACAGTGAAGGTGTAGTTCATGTGGGGCTCTAGGTCACTGACGGTCACACTGGTGCGGGTCAGCCCCAGCGGCGGCTCCGAGTAGCGCACACTGGCCTCGCAAGGCCCACACTCGCCCGACTCGGGCCAGCACTGCTCGCAGGAGACACTGTAGGTAACATCCTCTCGGCCCCCGCTGTCCTGGGGGGGCGTCCAGCGCAGCTCCACCTTGGCGCCCATGCCCACAGCCGTGAGGTAGTGCGGGGCGGACGGGGGGCCTGCACAGGGCGGGGTGGGGAGCGGACAGGTCAGCGTCAGCCACCACCCCCAGCCCGCCCGCCCTGACCCCTGGGAGACTCACGCGTGCAGGGCAGGGTCAGCGGGTCCTGCGGAGCCCGGAAGTAGCCGTCCTCACACTCGCAGCTGGCGGCGCCCTCAGAGGGTGGCAGGGTGTGTGCAGGGCACTCCAGACACAGGCTCTCGGACGCCTCGGGCTTGAAGAACCCCGGCGAGCAGGCTGGGGGTGCGGGGGCAGAGTCAGCTCAGCCTGCTCCCAGACCCAGCGACTCTTCCTCTCCCTCGCCCTGGGCCCCCAGGCAAGTCACTGAGCCGCTATGGGCCAGTCTGGTCATTGGCGAGAGTGATGACAAAATGCGTGGTCAGCACCCAGTTCAGGCAGGGCACCCAGAAGTGCCTGGCCAGCCTGCTCCAAACCTTTGCAGACCCCCGCAACGGGCTCTTGCAAGAAACGCCCTGCCCCCACGCCTGGTGCTCAAGGCCCGCATCTCAGCGTCCCGCTCCCCAAGAAGCGGCCTGCCTGCTTTACCTCCTTGAGTCTGTGCAGGCCGGCCTGGCAGGTCCCACCTGGACTACGAGCCGCCCGGGCAGTAACTGTCTTCTTCCCCATCTGTGTTTGTTGACTGACGACCACCACCCCCAGCCCAGCCCCCCAGCAGATCAGCCAGGAGCATCAGGGTGCCAGCTTTGCGGGTGCTCCCGCCACCCTGAGGCTGGACCACCTTCCTGTCCTGGGGCTGGCCCCAGGAAACAGGAAAGGCCAGACCCCCAGCATTTTCTCTGGATCTGCTTTCAGGGACCGAGTCACTTCCTCCGCTCACAAGGGCCACCAGGAAGCAGCTCTTCCTTCCCTGGTAGCAGGTACGGTCCCAGCCAGGCAGGGGAGAATCCCAGAAACCTCATTCCAGAGGCTTCTTCCTCCCATCGCTCTATCCTGCCCCGGCCCCAGGCCCCCTTCCTGGCCCCACAGGCAGGAAACTCCCCAGACACTGCGCAGGGCTGTCCCGGGGCTAAGCAGCTGCTGAAGCAGCCAGAATGGGGTGGGGTCCCCCAGGGTCCTCTTCCCCAAGCCTACAATTACTGTCCCCCACCCTCAGCTTATTCAGTGGGAAGACACGGAATAAAACACCTCTAGCTTCAGTGTCATGTTTATCAAACATTGATCCTTGACTCTTATGTCCAGCCCTACGCACAGACCCTGTGAAAGTATGAAAGTGTTAGTCGCTCAGTCGTGTCCGCCTCTCTCTAACCCCATGGACTGTGGCCCACCAGGCTCCTCTATCCATGGGACTCTGCAGGTAAGAATACTGCAGTGGGTAGCCATTCCCTTCCCCAAGGGACCTTCCAGACCCAGGGATTACCCAGGATAACGCAGGCTTCCTTTATTACAGGCGTATTCTTTACCATCTGAGCCACCAGGGGAGCCCTGCGACAAAGCCCCTGACCTCAGGGAGCAGGCGCACAGGACGATGTCCACCAGAAAGGGATGGGCAAAGGCCTACAGGGGTAGAAAGAACCTTGGCCAGAGGCTTGTGGAGTCAAATATGGGGTATTTCAGCCAGGGCTTAGGAGCTGAGTAGGAGTTCAGCAGGGCAGAAGTGTTGGGAGGCGGAGTCAGGGGTGAGAAAGAGCAAGACTAATGGGAAGTGTGCGTGGCTTGGTGGGCACAGGTCTGGAGAGTAGCAGGGAGTAAGTCTGAGCCGCCTCAAGGGACAAGCTTGAGAAAGGCCCCTAATGTCAGATCAAGGAACCGGGACTTTATCCTAGGGGCAGTGAGAGCCAGTGAAGGTTTGATGTAGAGAATAATGGTACGGTCAGATCTATGCTGTTGAAAAAAGGCAGGGACAGTCTCCCTCCTCGTCTAGTTCCCTATGCAAGCAGAGGTGGGGAGTCAGGGGAAGGAACTAAAGGACACCTCCCCGTTAATGACTGCTTGCCGGGGCCCAAGGGGACGCTCCTGGAAGCCGCTCCCTCCTCTCCTGCCCGTCCTGCCACGGCAGAATGTCAACACAGGCCCTGAGAGAGTTCGGGCACACACCAGGGGAGGGGGCTTGTCCAGGACCGCATGGCCTGGAGCCCGTCACACGCCGCGACCACTGATCAGGCAGCTGCTCTGTGCAGCTTCTGGCCCAGGCACTCGACATGCACGTAGTCGTCACAATAAGTGTTATCAAACCAGGCGCTGTAATGCTTCATTCCACTCTGGAGGTGAGGAAACTGCTGCTCGGAGAGGTAAAACACCTTGGTCAAGGTCAACGAGCCCCTAAGACAGGAAACCCAAACCTAAACCCTGCATGCCAACCTCAAAGCCCCCTCCTCTCCCCACAAACATGTCAGTTTGGAGCAAAGAGAAATCAAAGTTCTCAAACAAGCCCAAAGAGCGAAGAGCGAGGAGAGGAGGCCCGACCGCTGCAACACCAGAAAATCCCAAGACAGATTTCAGAGTAGTTAGGGGAGGGGGGAGGGGTGGCACCTCCTAAAGCACGGCACCTCTATGTCCTTGAGGGGAAACAGTGACATCACACCCAGGCCACATGGGAGGGGGTTGGTCGGGCCCACCAGCGTGACCTCCTACTTCAAGGCCCAAAGGTTTTCCAAGTCTCCCGCTGCATTTAAGGAATTCCTGTGTATTTTGCATTCTTCCTCATTACTTATCTGTTACAATACAAAAATAGCTCTCTCCTCCCCCAAACCTACAAGTAAAAGTGAGACTTCAGAAAGCTGGGCCCTGTTTATCCTGGGATCTCAACTCCCCCAAATGCCCTGACTTATCTGCCAGAGGGGCTTACACCCTGGGTGAGTACTGGCTGCAGGTGGTCCAGGCCCCGCAGAATCGGGGTGCCCAGGGGCCCCCAAGAACATAATCACACCCCCCAGCTCAGGCGCTCAGGCTGGGGAGGGACCCCAAGCCCCCACAAGGCCTTCAGGACCTGTAAAACCCACAGGGCCCCTTGCTCCCCAGTCCCCCAGCCCCGGGTCAGAGGAGGAAGTAGGAGCAGAGGCGGGCCCCGGTCTGTGGTCTCTGAGCCGGGGGTGGCCCGCCTGCTGCCGGCAGGAAAGAGGGAATTTGGAGAGATTTCCGCTGGGCATGTGCCAGAGAATAGCGGAGAGGCAGCTCCAGCAGGGCATGTTCTGGCCTGACGGGAATGAGCTGCCCCCTCCTGCAGCCGCAGAGCTCCACGGGGCCTTCCCTGGGCCCCACCAGAGTGTGCCCTTGCTCAGGGGCCCCAGAGTCCACGTGTCTGCCACTGGTAGGCCCCCGGGTCTTCCTGATCTTGCAGGGTTGCATTTCCTGGCATTCTGGGCAGATGAGTGGGGACAGGGATCACACACTGGGTGGTCACACATTCCCAAACCTAACTTACACTCACAAAATACCCACTGTCCCTTCACCCATCAGCAAACTCCTATGCATCCTTCAATACCCAGCTTGAGCTCCTCTACACAGCCCTCCCGGACTCTCCAATCTCTGGCCCCCTTCTGACCATCAGGGCAACTCTTACTCAATCTTATGTTTACCAAACAGAAACTGAGCACTTCCTACGTGTCTGGCACAATGCTGGCTGCTGGGAGACCATGGCAAGAAAAACAAACACCGCTTCTGCTCCAGGGAAATTTACACTCCTGGCTTTCGGACTCCTTCTGGAATGATTTCGGATCTTCTATGAGACAGGCAGCTGGTGGGGCGCAGAAGCGGAATCCGCTTTCTCTGTGTCCCCTGGCCCAGCAGAGGGTCTGGCACACAGCAGGTGCTCAGCTAACGTCTGCTGACTGGACAGATGAAAATGTGAGTAAAGACAGAACCTACATGCTCATTACAAATGGGCTCTAGGGCCACAGAAACGAGTGTCTCAGTGCCCAGGAGAGTGTTGGGGGATGGTGCCCATGATGCCACCTGCCCAGCTCCAGATCCCAGCTCTGGCACACCCGTGGGGAACTTCCCTGGCCCCAGTCCCTGGCAGGCCCAGGCCTCTCTGAGCAGGGGAATGGGGGCAGGGTGGCTGCGCCCAGGGGTGTACCCTGGTTTTTCCAGTTCCCGATGCCCGCCCCTCAGGTGGCAGCGTGGGATGACTCAGGGACATACGCCCTCTAGCGTGACGCAAATCCAGTGGCAGAGCCCCTCCTCCAGGCCCAGCCCCCTCACCCGGCCAGCGGTGGCACGGTCACAGGGTCGAGAAGTGGCAGTGGCAATCCACCTGTGGTCAGTCACCTACCCCAGCCCAGGCCAGCTGGCCACCACGTGTGCCACCCCGGCCCAAAGGCACAAAGCCTGGACTTTGCCCCACACCTGACGGGCAGCAGTCAGCGACCCCATGTAAGTTCCTGACCCTGCAAACGCGGGTCCCCAGCAGCCCTGTTCCCACACACCCCGGGGAACATTCTGTGGGCACATTCCTCCACCAGCTGCGATAAGCCAGACTCCGCCTCCCCGGCACCAGCCTTTCATCTGCTGTTTGCTTTCCCTGACTCCTTCCTTCCGTTCTGGACCCGCTGCTCACCTCGGTGCGGGAGGAAGGGAGGGCCCCCCACGGAGGTTTTGCGCTCAGTGTGAGCTGAGGGCTGGGCGGGGGGTGGGGGCTGCCACGGCTCCAACCCCCACTCAGGCCAGAAGAAACCACCGAAATAAGGCCAGGGGCACTCCCCTGGGAGGGGACAAACCCCCGAGTCACAGATCACAGACCACCACCCGCTCAGCCTGGGGATCAGCCCCTGCGTGCTCAGGGACATCCTACCTAAGGACCCCCTCAGCCAGAGCCACTGCCTGCCTAGGGGGTGCCTCCTCTTCAGCTCTGGACCCTGGGCCAGGTCTCAGCCAGTCAGGTGCCACCCATGCAGAGGTCACCCCATCTGCAGATTGCCAGAGCAACCCAGGTTCTCAGGAGGAACCACAGCAGAAAGTCACAGGAGGTAGGCTCTGAGTGCTAAGGCTCCAACCCACCCATTTTACAGTGAAGCCCAGAGGGGATTCACCAAGGTCACAGGGCTTGCAGGTAGAAAGCTACATGCCAAGGGCACTTGAAGACAGCACACTGCCCTCCCCACGCCAGGCCCCAGCTCCCTCACTCACTTCCTCTCCCTGGGCCTCAGTCTCCTCATCTGTAAAACAAGGGCTCTCTGGGTTGTTTGTGAAGACAGCTGAAACTTTGCTTGGGAAATGCTCTGCATGGGATGAGGTGTCCACGAACTGGGGGACAAAGAGACTGGAGCGGGGAGGGGCTGGGCCCCTCAAGGGAGCAAGCGCTTCCAAGGAGGGACCTCCTGATCCCCAAGCCCCCACCCCCAGCTGCTGGACCGAGCCTCTGGCCCAAGCTGCTGGCCACCTGCTCACCTGGCCCGCAGTCCCCGGGCCGAGGCGCCAGCTGCCGTGCCAGGACAGGAAGCTGAGACAAACAGAGAGACAGAGCCACCCCGGGGGACATGGCGGTCAGCCTGAGTGGCTCCAGCATCCCCTAGGTAGGGCTGGGGGCGGGGGCGCCGGAGGGAAACGGGCTCATTCCTGACATAGCTCAGCAAAGCGCGGCTGCCCGTGCCCACCTGTCCACACACACAGCACCTGGGAGGTGGCTCCCTTCCGCTGTGCGTTTAACTCTTTCCTGAGCCTCCTGGGGAGGGAACCCTGTGGAGGAACTGGTAATCACCTGGACCGGATGACCTTGGCCTGCCCAGCCCCGCTCTGGACTTGGCTTGTCACCAGTAAAGCCCCAGCGGGAGCCTCTCGGTCCATGGCTCTGCGGAGGGCAGGCAGGGGACAGACCCTACAGCTCCCTGTTTCCTCTGTAACATGCTCAGGAAGAGCCCCCACCCCCAGCCCCCTTGCCACCTGTGCCAGGACCTGGCACCCTGCTGCCCAGAGCGTCCATCCGGGCCAGGCGCTGACTCAGGGATTCCAGAGGAACCGGTCACTTCCCGCCCCGCCTTCTGAGCCATCCTCTGGCCTGGATGTGGCTGCGTCGGCTAGATCCAGTCCTGGGGCGACTGGTCTCAACTGTGTGATGCCAGGCAGGTTTCTTCACCTCTCTGAGCCTCAGTTCCCTGTCTGTGAAATGGGACGGGCAGCAGTCCCTGCCTCTCAGAGCGGCAGCACAGACCTGCAGGAGCAGGTAGATGGAGCGCTTGCCCGGGGCAGCTCCAAGCTCTGTAGCTGGGTCTCCCCCACCATCAAGGTCCTGGGCTGCTGGGGAAGGTCTGCAGGGGCAGAGTCGCCAGGCTGGGGGTTCCCAACCACAGAGAGGGCCCCCAAGCCACACGGAAGGGAATTTAGGGAGAGGGACTCCAAGGGGGAAAATCAGGGCAACAGGTGGCTGGTAGTGCAGAGGGTCCCCGGACCAAAGTCAAAGATTCCAGTCCTGGAAACCAGGCCTCCCTCCTGGGATGACTCAACTCGTCACAAACAAAGCCTGAGAGGCCCTGAACTCCCGCTCCCGGAGAGGGAAGCCGGACCCCCCTTCCTGCAGAGAGACACCCCCCACTTCAACTGTCCACTTATCGCGGCCGGGCCTGAATCACCAGCCTGTGGAAAGTTTTCAGCTGCCCCCCACCCCCCCGCCTGCATTCCTGTGTGAGGATGTCATGGGGAGGAGTCTGCTCACCCAGGGAGGCCTCCCCCTGCCGCCCCCCTGCCCCTGGCGGTCACTGTCTGAAACCCGGGGGCGTGCACCTGAGGTCACCGCAGGCAGGGCCAGCTGAGGAGCAGAGACTACGCCACAGGCAGAGAGGCTCTGAGCAGACTTCTCATTTGAGGCTGTAGACTGTACTAAGTAAGGTTCTGAGGATTGGCTCTAAGAGGCAAGTGCAGCCCATGAGAAAGGGTTTCAGGGCCCTCCAACACCTGAAACCCCGAAAGATCCATGGTTACTAGGTAAGAATACAATCTGCTAGAACAGTTGAACTTCTCATCTTTCGATCAGGAAGCCTGAGACCAGAGGTGAGACATTCACCAAAGGTCACTGGTCGGTATGTGTAAGTGCAGGCCCCGAACCCCCGATTTCTCAAGACACCCCGCTTATCTCAGCAAAGAAGCTCCCAGAGCCAGCCAAAGGTCGGCCCACATTCCACAAATGCCCTGCCCCGCAGCCATTTCCAGAAAAAGTCACCACTGAAAGAAATCCACGTTGCTTTAGCGCGTTCCGCTATCACAGGCCTGGCTGTGCCAAGCCATGGCCTCTCGATGAGAGCTCAGGCCCTGTGCCCAGACAGTCTGATGATGCCGGCCCCGTCGTCATCAGCAGAAGCCCCAATGGGCTGATCTGGGTCCATGGCCCGGGGTGGGGCAGGCAGCAAAGGCAGACCTGAGCACCCCTCCCAAGCAGGCCTTTTTCAGAAAGCCCCAGGTGATTCTCATGCGCAGCCGGGGAATGCAAATCCTGGGTCCACTTCATTCACCTCCAAGAACCAAAGAGGGGCCTGAGCCCCAGAGAGGTTCAGTGACTTGCCCAGTGTCACACGGTGAGTCAACAGAGAAGGAACCAGCTTCTGGGCCTGAATGCACTGTACCCACCATGCTGTTTCATAACAGATACTCAAGATAAACTTCTGGGAAGAACCAAAAACAACAATCACACTTAAAAACACTTCTGTGTCAGACACTGACCTAAGCATTTTATGAGTATTAAGTCATTTGACTGTCATAACAACCCTACAAGATGGGCAGTATGTTCACCTCCATCGTACAGATGAGGAAACCCGGACACAGAGAGGTTAAAGAACTGGCTGAGTCACACAGCTACATGCAGCACAGAGATGTGAGCTCACCCACTCCTGTCTGGGGTCTTCCCTGGCGGCCCAAACCGTAAAGAGTCTGCCTGCAATGCCAGAGACCTGCGTTTGATCCCTGGGTTGGGAAGATCCCATAGAGAAGGAAAGGAAAACCCACTCCAGTATTCTGGCCTGGAGAATCCCATGGACCCAGGAGCCTGGCGGGCTACAGTCCATGAGGCTGCAGAGTCAGGACACAACAGAACGAGTAACACTCTCACTTCCACTCCTGTCTGAGAGTCTTCACTCACATTCTGCACACTGTCCGTTTCTCAATGGATTCATTTTTGTGAACGAGTGAATCCAGCCTAGGAAGCCTCTGAGATTTCCACTAACAGAACCACCCCACGTCAGAGAAAGGACAACCTTACCAAGGTCCCCGGCTCCAAGAGCAGAGACTGGAGCCTGGGAACACAGCCTCCACCACGTGCCCTCACTCACCCTGGCAGGCGTCCTCCACCTTCTCATAGCCCGCCTGGCACAGGCACTGGCCAATGGGCACCAGCCACTCGCCATCCACGGCGCAGTGCATGCGAGGCTCTTCGCCCCCGGGGGGCACCACAGCATGCTCCACACAGGTGCCTGCCACGGTGGCCAGGGCGGGTGCGTCGGAGCCAGCGATGGTCTCGGGGAAGCGGGCCAGGCCCTTGAGCAGCTCGGGGCACTTCTTGTAGTAGACGCGCACGGACAGCAGCGCCACGCAGGCGCCCACGTCCTGGAAGGCCAGGTAGAAGCCCTTACGGGTGAGCGGCCCCACGGACCGCTCCTCCACATTCAGCTTCACGTTGCGCGCCTCAAAGTCGCTGCTGCCTGTGATCTCGTCGGGCGCAATGGTGTCGATCTTGGTGAACTGGCGCTTCTGGAAGTTGGTGCCATAGTCCACATCTGACTCGGCATAGTAGAGGTTGAAGGTCTCCTTGCAGGAGCTGGCACCTCCAGGGAAGCTGTTGCAGTCCCGCACAGTGAACTTGAGCTCGATGAAGATGCGCTCGGCCTCCCCGCGGTAGACCCAGTTGGTGCGAAGCCAGTTGTCCTGGTCGCCGGCCACCACATTGCACACGGAGTACATGTAGATGGGCATGTCGTTCATGATGTTCTGCAGGAGGTCCCACTGTGCAGGGCCGAAAGGGGAGTGTGGGCAGGGAGGCAGGCGCCCAGAGGCATCAGCCAGGAGGTGGGCCAGGCACCAGGCTCTCCGCTTCCTGATAGCCTCACTCGGGTCCAGGAAGGGGCTCCAAGTCTCCCTCACACGTTACCAGTGGCTGAACTGGATCTGACCCCTTGGTGTGCCCCCTGACACCGGTGCTGGGATGCTAAACCCCTATATTAGACAGTGAGCTGAGGGCGGAGGCTGCGGGTCCCACGTGACCTGAGGCAGATGGCTTTAGATCTCTGAGCCTCAAAGTCCCCATCCTGCCATGGGGGCCAGAGCCACTTCACAAACTTGCTGTGAAGATAAATGACAGAACGTCTACCAAATACTGAGCACGCTGCCTGGCATGGGTGACAGGCACACAAGGCAATTGGTATCACCACCACCACTATCATTCACTGTGTAGGCCTATGTGAGTGGGAGGGAGGGGTCGGGTCAGGAACAGCAGGTGATTCCGCACTACTGCTCAGATCACTGCTCAGCCTCCTCCAGGAAGGCTTCCCAGGTTGGGTCAAGGCTGGGGCAAGTGCTTCCCTCAGACTCCCATGGCCTCCATTATCTTAGCACCTACCTGGTGACAACTACATCTTGCTGCCACAGCAGAGTCTGAGCTCCTTAGGGCATTTCTTTATCCCCAGGGCCTACCTCAAATAGAGTAAGTACTTGGGAAAGTATTTGTTGAATGAATGAACACATGTATGACGAAAGCAGAGGGGCCAAGGAGAAAGCCCTGGGCTGCACTGTGCGACCTTGGCCTCAGATGCCCTTGGGCCTCAGTTTCCTACTGTGTCACGACTTGGTTGGATGACATTCCAGGATCCTGGAAATCTGCTGACATTAAACTCCAGGCCTAAGGAGTTAGGGTGACCAGGGCCCAGGGGCCAGCTCACTCACAGATCTGGCCAGCAACAGAAATGGTCTCGAGTACCCCCTGGAGACAGCTCAGGCCCCAGAACAAATTCAATAAGGGGGAAACTGAGGCCCAGAGCATCAGTATCCTCCCCAAGGCCACACAGCAGTCACACGCAAAGCTGGGGAGAGGACCCTGGGGTCTTGCCCACCAGTCCAGGCCATAGCAGGGCAGGGAAGGGGAGGAGAGGGGAGGGTAGGGGAGGGCAGGGGAGGGGAGGGGAGGGGAGGGGAAGGAAGGGGAGGGGAGGGGAGGGGAAGGAAGGGGAGGGGAGGGGAGGGCAGGGGAGACTAACCGCAGGAGATGAACTTGGTGGAAAAGCAAAACAAACTCAGCCTCAAGCAGGAAAGGGGAGCAACAGCTGGAGAAGCAGGGAGAGAGGCCTGCCTGGAAGGAACCTGATCTGGCTTCCGGGGCTGTAGGGACCTGGGAACACTGTTTCCTGTCTCTAGCTCATCCCTCATCTCCTGGGCTGGGTCCTCAAAGACAGGGGGAGCCTCAAACTCCTTCCCTGCCTGCCGAGGGGAATAGAGGGAGCCAGAGGGGGTCCCTCTGACGACCCTGGGGCCCTGTTCTGCTGGGGCCTCCGGCTGTCTCCCCAGCTCTCCCCACCTCTCAGGGCCCTTCCCTGCCCTCTTGTCCCAGCCTGCCTAATTGGTGAGAAGCTTGGATTTAAACCCTGGCTGAGCCATTGGCTCTGGGCCAGGACCCATCCTCCCCGGGTCTCAGTTTCCCTGTCCCCGGGCCCGCACCCACCCCAGACAGCTTACCCCTTTGCCATAGGGGTGTGTGAGCCAGCCGAGCTCCCCTTTAGCTGCAGCAAAATCCAACAGGACAACTGAAAGAGATAAAAGAGGGGAAACTGGGTCAGCTTGGAAGTATCTTCAGGGATCAGCCCATGGTGGGGAAGGCAGGAGTCCCCTAGGAATCCCAAGTGGACCTAAAGGCTTCCCCAGCCCCCAGAGAGAGGCCCCACCGCTCAGGGTCAGCACAGCCAAGAAGACCCACCTCTCCAGAATAGGGAGGCGGGGCCCCGGGGAGGAAGGGGACCTCGTCACTGTCACAGCGCAGGACGGGTGAGGACCAGGCCTCTCCCTCCAGCCACGCCTCCCGCTCGCGGCCCCAGCTGGGCGAAGGGGGCAGAGCTCGGCCCAGCAGGGCACAGCGGCTGGGCCTGAGGGACACCACGCCGCCTGCCTGCTTCCTGAAGAGGCCCCTCCGCAGCGGTTCACACGCACGCAGGTCTTGGGGACACCCTTATCTGCTCCGGCCACATCCCCCCACCCCATACACAGCACAAAGTACCCTCAACCCCACAAAGGCCACACAGATGCACCACACGTGTGTACATAACGTGTCTCCTGGCCCTCCAAGAGGAGAGAGCTGTTAACAGGTGGGAATGACTCCAGGAAGGGGACTGGGGTCGGTGGGGGGGCGGGGGGGCGGGTGGTGTCTGGAAACTGATCTTCCCACCACGAAAGCCACAGAGCAGGCACAACAAAGCCCTGAGCCCACAGGGCCTCCGGGAGGGACCCGCAGACACACACAGATGGCGCGGCCCGGCCCTGGGGACCCGTTCCTGCTGCCTCTGTCCCTGACACCCTGGCCACTGACCTGCCAGAGGCGTCTGGGGACTGAGATGGAAACCCTTAAAGGGAACATCCAGGCCCAGAGTAAACAGCTGCCTGGACCTCGCTGTCCCCAGAGAGGCATCGGAATTCGCGGGAAGGACATGTTGCCAGGGGCTTCCCCAGATCCAGCCGTGCTCTCAAGCACCTCTCACTGCCCACCCCTGGCTTTTCCAGCCTCATCAACTGCAGTCAAGACCCCTGGTGCAGCCTCGTGCTCCATTTCCAAGTAATGGCCAGGTAGCTACCGATAGAAGCGACGCTGGGGTCTGGAGAACAAGCATGGCCCTCTGTAAGTTCCCCAGATTCAGAGGAAAAGCCCTGAGGTGGGGCGGGGGGGGGGGGGGAGGGAGGGGCCTAGTGCTGACTTCTGGACTCTGAAACATGAGGAACATGGCCCCAAGAAGCAGCATTCCTCAAGGCCTGGACCTGAAAGAATGCCTCTCAGGGTGGAATCCCAGGCAGGTGGAGATGGAGCTGATTTAGACAGATGCGGGGGACGGAGATGGGAGCCTGGGCAGACTCTGAGAAACCCTTTGCTGAGGGCAGACCACCCCTTTCCCCCAGGCCTGGGAGCGGAGCGCTACCAGCTGACCTCTGCTGACCCAGCCAGGGCCTCTAGGAAAGGCCCACAGCCCGGCTGGGGAGAGGAAGGCCGACGTGGCCCAAGCCCAAGGCTGAGGGGACAGAGGAGGGGGGCTGGGGGGTGGGCAGGGGCAAGGATCTGCTTGGACATGCCCAAGACAGGCTTGGGAAATTCACTAACCCCACTAGCAGATGGAATGTTCTGGCTCCACAGGAAGGAATCTGGGGGTTCCTGGCTCCAGCCCAGGGAAGTAGGAGGACAAAGGTGAGAGGTCCTCAAGATCCGGACGCCCCCCTTCCCTAGAGGGGTGGGAAGCTGCAGGCTATACTCCTGAGGGAGGGGGCTCATGGCTCCAGGGTGCTGAAGGGTTAACCTGGCACGGAGGGACCCCACGACCCCTGCCAGAGCTTGCTCCCCTTCCAGCCTGAGAAATATCACAGGGCTCACTGGAGAAGAAAAGAAGCCTTCACACAGGAAGGAGCCCCCTCCCTCCCGGGGGAAATTCCCTAGAGCCGATCACCAGGAACAGGCGCCTGGCCTGGTCTCTCCACGCTGACGGTCGCGGCTTCTCCCTGAGCTGCTTCCAGGGACCTAGCTGGCACTGGCGGGGGCCGGGAGCCCATCCGCGGGACCTGATGGCTTCACCGAGGCCTGGGCTAAGCTGGACTCATCCAGGGGCCCCTGTCCCTCACCCCACCCCCAGGAAAACCTTCTTCTCAGTCTGAAGTCCTATCGCAAATATCAACCTCGTGGGTCCACCTGGAGAGCTCTTTACTCAAAGGCATCATCTCCCTGCTCTCCCCATTCCTCCGAACAAGACAGGCTGGTTCCCAAAGCAGGGAGGCGGAGAGACTGGGGCTGGGGGACAGGACGGAGAGAGGAACGAAGAAAAGGGGACAGGGGACAGAGGGCACACTGGGCTCTGAGAGAACCAAGAGGCCAAGGAGTCCCAGGCCTCAGGAGCACTCTCCAGCCCACCTCCCAGCTCAGGCCAGCAAGCCCTGCAGGTCTTCTCACACCTCAGGAAAACCCAGCCCAGCACCTGGGTGCAGGGGCCCCGGGCTCTGGAGCCCGAGAAGCTGGATGTTCAGAGCTAACCCTCTGGAGAAAAAGGGATCAAGCCACCCTCAGGTTCCCCACTTGTAAAAGGACAGATTCAGGGGCTGCTGAGAGTTTTAACAGGCTCCATGGGGCCTCCTAAGGCAGCCTGGTCCTGCGCTCACGGGGAAGGAGTAAGGAGAGGAAAGCAGCCTGGGTGAAGGTGGAAGGGGCTTGGGTCTGCACCCCCGACCCACCTCCAGGCCAAGGCACCACATCCATGGAATCCCAGCTGGGGCATCCGTCCCCCACACCCCACCACAAGCACAGCTCCCTGGGGAGACCCTCACAGGGACTCTGGGAGCCTGAGCAGAAACCGTCCCTGGACCTTGTCCTCCCCCTTGCCACGCATGTCGGGGTGTGGTGGGCACTAGTCATCTGGCTGGGGGGGCTCGACAGCGGCCCAAGGGCAAGGCTACAGCACAACCATCACCCACGGCACCAGTCCTGCCTGGTCCCCCTACCCCACCTCCCAGGGCCTTCAGGACAGGCCTGCAGTGAATGCGGCTGTCTCCCTCCTTCCTTCCAACCACAACCCCCCAGAAGAAGGACAAAAAGCTGGGGTGGGGGGATATTGAGGGTCACAGAAGAGCCCACCCACTCAGCCTGCAAGTTGGGACCAGGAACCCCGACTGATTAGGGGCGTCCCCACCCTCACCCTCAGAGTTCCGCCTCGGGCCTCTTTTGCTCCCAACTTGGAACAGCAAAACTTCCAACCCCAGGTGGGGAGGCGGAAAAGGAAGGCAAGGCTCAAGGAAACTTCTCACGGGGCCGGGGTTTCCTCTGCACTTCCCTCTGGTGGAGCCTGCGGAAACCTCTGCCCCCGCGGGCGGGCAGTCCTTCTCAGTCGGAAACTGAAGCCGGTCTCCGCTGGGTGTACGGGTGGACAGGAAGCGCCTCGGCCAAGGGCACGAGCCCCCGTCCGCTCCGCGACCCCAGCCGAGGCGGCAACGCCCCCCACCCACCAGCGGCCCCGCCCTGGGCGAAGTCCGCGCGGCCCCTCACCCAGCGCAGCGGCGGGGGCGGGTGAGTCAGTCCCCCACCCCCCGGGTGCCCGACTCCGCGGTGGCCCTGGGGTGCCGGCTCCACACCTTGGGAGGCCGCGCCCCCACCTGCTGCATTTCCTGGCTCTGAATCACCCCTCGCTCAGAATGCTTGACTTTGGGACTTCCTGTCCGCACTCGCAGCCCGGGGACCTGCCCCCCGAGTCCCGGAGTGCGGGGCGGGAAGGAGGGAGGGCTGTGAGTGGGCAAACTGGCCCCAAACTCCCCGCGAGCTCTCCTGCCCGACTGGAGGCATCGCGGGGCGTGGAGAAAACTTCAGGGGGGCTGGGGCTTCTGCAAGGGTGTCCCCGCCGGCCGAAGAGCCCCTCCCCAAAGTGAGTGGCCTCCACAGAAACGCCTTCTCCACAAAATCGGGGCAAGCGGTTTCGCGAACTGAGGTCAACACGAAGCTGAGCCCGCCGGAAAGACCCCCGGACAACTCCTGATCCAAGAGACCCCCCGCGCCCCCGCCGGGACGCGTTCCTGAAGCCGCGTGGCCGGCGCCGAGTCCCCTTCTCTGCGGCCTCTGAGCCTCGCGCGCCAGGGCCCCAGCCTCTTAGTCCTAGGAGCGCCTACAGCCCCGAGTGGGCTGGGGCGGGGGTCCCAAACTCGCCCGGCTCGCAGCCTGCGAGCCCTCCGGACCTCAGCACGCAGAGACTGGAGTTTCCGAAGTGGCGCGCGGGGCTCGGGGCGGAGCAGGGACCGGGGTCCGGCCGCGCGCGCTTACCTTCCTTGCCCTGCGCCGCGGAGGCCGCGGCCAGCGCGCAGCCCCACAGCAGCGCGAGGCAGGCGGGCGGCGCCCGACGCCCCATGCCGCGCTCCTCGCTCTCCGCCCGGCTCCGCGCCCCGCTCCGCACGCCCGCCCGCCGGCCCCGGTCCGCCTCCCGCCCGCAGCTTCCTCCTGCCCGCCGGAGAGCTTAATGCGGGCGGAGAGCGGACCGGCCCCTGTCCATTCATGCCCGGGTGACGTCACGGGCCACGCCCCCGGTGTCTCCGAAGGGGCCGGGCCGGCGCCCCGCGGGGGCGGGGAGGCTCTCTGGGCCCTCGGGACTCGCTGGCGCCCCCAGGTCCTCGCAGGTTTGAGCGCCTCTAAGAGCCGGTGCAACCGATGCTAGCCTTAAGGGATCCTGCGCTGAGCCCCGCTCTAACCCTCTGCCACCGGGGCCGAGCTCAACACTGGCCCAAAGGTCTGAGCTGAAATGGCCTAAAGGCTCAAGAAGCAGTCGCCCGTTGAGCAGCTTGACGTCCCGCTTCCTAGTATTTCTGAACTGTGCACCCAACCTTTGGCGGTCAGAGAGAGCTTCTCTGCTCAGGCGCCTCTAAGAATTCAGGAATCTGAGTGCATCCGCGTCTAAGGACGAGTCAGACATGCGTTATCACTTAATTCTCCCCTGGGAGGTAGATGTCGTTATCCCTGTCCGTATAGTCAAAGCTATGGTTTTTCCAGTAGCCAAGTATGGGTGTGAGAGATGGACCACAAAGAAGGCTGAGCACCGAAGAATTGATGCTTTTGAACTGTGGTATTGGAGAAGACTCTTGAGAGCCCCTTGGACAGCAAAGAGGTCAAACCCTTAATATTCATTGGAAGGACTGATGCTGAAGCTGAAGCTCCAATACTTTGACCCCCCTGATGCGAAGAGCCAACTCTTTGGTAAAGATCCTGATGCTGGGAAAGATTGAAGGCAGAAGGTCAAGGGGATGACAGAGGATGAGATGGTTGGATGGCATCATCGACTCAATGGACATGAATTTGAGCAAGCTCCAGGAGATAGAGTGACAGGGAAGCTTGGCTTGCTGCAGTCCCTGGGGTCTCAAAGAGTTGGACAAGACTTTGCGACTGAGCAAGAGGCGTAAACTAAGGCTGCAACAGCCTAAACAATATGCCCAAAGGTTGCACAGCTCAAAGGTAGAGAAGCGAGGATTTTATCTGGGTTTATGGACTTCCCTCATAGCTCAGTCGGTAAAGGATCTGCCTGCAATGCAGGAGAACTGGGTTTGATTCCTGAGTTGGGAAGATCCCCTGGAGAAGGAAATGACAATCCACTCCAGTATTCTTGGATGGAAAATCCCATGGATAGAGGAGCCTGGTGGGCTACAGCCCATGGGGTCGCAAGAGTCGGACACGACTTAGCAACTAAACCAACCCAGTCTCTGCTTTAACTTCTGCCCATACTGGGAAAGGGTGGCCCGGAGGCTGCTGTGCAGAGCACCCCTCCCCACCAGCCGTGGAATGGTAGAATCAGTTGGTCCGTTTTAACACTTTGGAGGACACTGGCTTCCCACCTGCTCCTTCAAGGAGCCTCTCTCCAAAGGTTCCTAGATGTGAGCTCATCGCCCCTCCTGACAGAAGTGCCTGGCATTTAGTGAAACAAATGGGAAGTGTCCTGTCTCCTGCCTGCCTACCTGTCCACCCACCACTGCCCGTTGCCCAACCCGCCACGTGGCCAGCCCGCTGTAGCGGGCCTGGCTTCCTGGAAACCACCGCCCCCTCTGCCCACCTCCCCTCTCACCCCATCCTCTTCTTGACCCCCTGGACCTTCTCACCCAATAGCCACACTGGGCTACTCTGGTTCCTGGGTCCTCCCTGCCAGATGTGGACCTTTCGGCCTTGGCGCCCGCCCTTGGGAAGCGGGTTCAGACATCTCCCCAGGAAAAGGGGGGAGGGATTAATTACAGGTGTAGGGGCAGTATAATTAAAGCCTTTGACCAAGATAATGGGAGGAGAGTCTTGTCCTCTGAGAGCACGTGAGTGCACAAGTGTCCGTGAGAGTATGTGGATGTATGTGTGTGTGTGAAAGCATGTGTGGACAAGAGAGGATTTACATGTGACTGTGAGCATGTCGTACTTGGCAGAGGTTGGGAACGTAACCTGTGGAGTCAGTCTATGAGTTTTTGGACATTTCACTTCTTGCAGGCTCTGTTTGCTCATCTAGAAGATGTATGAACCTACTTCAGAGGGTTATTGTGAAGAGGAAAATAACCGTGCACGTTAACCTCAGAGGCCAGGACAACGGAAGGCGCTTCTTAAATCTCAGCTGTTATTATGGTTACACGTGGTTCAGCCAGAGGAAGCAGCTTCTGTGGCTGAGGGGAGGGGGCAGGAGGTGTTCACAGGGCCTTGTGGATGCCGGTGAGGGGTGTGTGTGTGTGTGTGTGCGTGTATGTGTGTGTGTTTGTGTGTAGTACATGGTATGCATAAGGGTTTTGCAGTTGTGTTGGACCTCTGGGTTATGGACATTGCATGGTGAACGTAAGGTTTCCGGTATGTTGTAAGACTGCACATGTTGTGTTGTACACCACTGCAGGCTCTGTATGCTGGATGTGCCTCCAGAAGATACTGTCCAAGAGGGCAGAGCAGTTTGTGGGAAAGAGCATCGGACACGTAGTTGGAATCCAGCAAACTTCTGCTGAACTTATGAACTGAGGAGTGAAGGAAGGGGTTGGTAAGGTGTGTGAAAGACCTTGCCGTGTTGTTCCCTCGTGCGGGATGTGTACGTTTCCTGGAACCCTCATGCCGGCTGCAGGCAGGCCCTGCTGGCTGGGCGCTGAGTGCCTGGAGGCTGTGCCCAGCTGGGGGCTAAGAGCCTAGAGCTGCGTCTCATCTGTGACACAGGACAGGAGCAGAGGCTTGTGGGCGGGTTGGTCGGCGGCCGGAGGGCGTGGGGCGGCACCTCGGCCTTTAGTCACTCACCTGCGACACGCCCTTTGCTTTCTTCCTGTCTGACCCTGAGTCCTTCCTGCTCTGCTGACTGGGTGCTGAGAAGGAAAGTTCTTCAGTGAGTCTTATAAAGCTCACCGAAAGGCGGTATTTATAGTGACATAATAAGCCCTAATGGAGATGGAATTACCCCATAAAGGCCCCAGAGAGCCCGGCGGCCTGAGTGCCACTGCAGCAAGCAGGGCTTCCGCTGCAGGCAAGTGGGGCCCAAGTGAGTGTGTGTGTGTGGGTGTGAGTGTGTGTGTGTCAGTGTGTGTGAGTGTGTGGGTGTGAGAGTGGGTGTGTGAGTGTGTGTGTGTGTGTGTGTGAGTGTGGGTGGGTGTGAGAGTCTGTGTGAGTGAGTGAGTGTGTGTGTCAGTGTGTGGGGGTGTGTGTGTGTGGGTGTGTGTGTGTGAGTGTGTGTGTGGGTGTGAGTATGAGTGTGTGAATGTGGCTGCAGGGGTCTCACCTGCTAATCCCCCATTTCAGCCCACCAGCCTGCTCAGGTGCTCACCTTTGCTAGGATTTATTGGGGGCGGGAGTGCTGAGGGCAGCCAGATGACAAAGGTAAACACTGAAACCACAGTCTCACCCATGAGGGAAGCACTGTTCCTGGGTCCTTTTGCAAAGGATCAGGCTTGCTTGTAAAAGCTAGAAAACAAGGGCTTCCCTGGTGGCCCAGTGACTAAGAATCTGCCTTGCAACGCAGGGGACATGGGTTTGATCCCTGGTCAGAGAACAAAGATCCCACGTGTTGCAGAGCAACTAAGCCTGCACGGCATAACAGAAGAGGCTGCCTGATGCAATGAAGAGCCCGTGTGCTGCAACTGAGACCCAGTGCAGCCAAACAGATTTTTTTTTAAAGTTGGAAAATAACTGTAGTCCTAGCCCAGGCAGCCTAGATAGATCTGGCATGCCGTCTCCCAGGTACCTCTCTCCACTGCCTCTGGAAGTGCTGGATTCCTCAGAACCCAGAGGGCCACTGCGGCTGGATACCTGGAATGATGCCCTGCAGCAGTCTTCAAGGCCAGTCCAGCGACCACCTCTGCAGTAAAGCCCCCAGGGATTGGGCTCTCCTCGACCCCCGGAACTCCCTACTACATGCCCCCCAGGACCCTGGTCTCAGCCAGCTCAACTCTTACTTGTCTTCGGAGCCTCTGCACTGTCTCTGGACTAGACTGTAAGTTCCCGGAGGCGAGGAATGAATCCAACAGCCCTTCTCAGTCCTAGCACCAGCTAGAACAGTGCCCGGACACAGGAGTCTCTCCACAGACGGTCACGTTTGACGCTGATCCTCTAAACCAGTTCTCTCCCTTCTATGCGCTCATTTTCTCAAAGGCCGACTATGTGCCAAGCCACTTTTACCCACGTGAGCTCATCTAATCCTCCCAGCATCCCTAGAAGGGGAAGTTAATATTGTCCCCACTTTTGCAGGTGAAGAAACTGAGGCTCAGAGAAGAACTTACCTGCCTAAAGTCATACTGCCAGGACCACAGAGGTAGAACTAAACAGCTAAGTGTGTTTCACCCCAGAGCCCGGTCTAGCCGCTCTTTTTTTAACACACCGTGTGGTCTCATTTCTGCCTCCCGTTGTCCAAACTGTATCATCTACCCAGATGCCCTTTCCACTTTGGCAACTCCTGTCCCTTCTTTTTTTACAATTAACCATTTTGTTTTATTTATTTACTTATTTAAAAATCATTTATTTGGCGGTGCCAGGTCTTAGTTGTGGCATGTGGGATCTAGTTCCCTGACCAGTGATTGAACCTGGGCCTCCTGCATTGGGAGTGTGGCATCTTAACCACTGGACCACCAGGGAGGTCCTCTCCTTTTCCTTCATCAAGTCTTGCCTTGGAGCAACATAGGAGGAGAGACACTGAGCACCCCCCCTCCCCGGCCACTAAATGTAGGAGAGCATCTCGCCTGCAGTGTGGGCCAGGACAGATCTGGTAAGTGAATGACCGAATCATGGGTCCAGCAGACCTGAATTCTGCCATTTAACCAACTGTGTGGCCTTGGGCAAGTCTTACGATCTCAACTGCCACGTCTGTAAAATGGGCATGATAATAATGGCTTCCAGCCTCCAGGATGGCTTCTGGGATTAAAGGAGATTACA